GTTGTGAGGATAAAATGAGACAACCTGCGTGCAGCATTTTGGAATCCTTAAAACGATTATGAACGATAGCCATCATCATCATTATTATTTTTGTTGTTATTATTATTATATGTCCAAGGTGACACAACTAGAAAGTGGCACATCTGTCTCCTAACGTCAAGTCTCGAATCACAGATCGTCAGAATTGAGGAAGAAAAAACAAAGAAACAAAAATCTTACAGATGACTTAACTAAGGCAAAAATGAGAGGCAGAGAGGGGAAGAGACTTGTTTAAGACCACAGTGCAAACTTTAGGCAGAGGCCAGACCAGAATTAGACCTCCTGAGCCTTCTCTTGGATTACCTGTCAATATACTATGTTACCTCCCATTGGTTATTGGGGAAAAAAAGTTCTTATTGATGTTTTTTGTCTTCATTTCACATTCATTTCCAAGTATACTCCATTCCAGGCCTGCATGACCTGCGGCATGCCAAAGGATTTTGGGTGGCCCATGAAAAACATAGAGGAAAACCTCCATTTTTTGCAAGCTGCTTGAAATCCTTTGGTGAGCAATAGGTTGTGCAGGCCTGCACTATTCCTTCCATCCCCTACAAGGCAGATTTAAAAAGAGAAATACAGCATTTTGGAAAAACTAATCAACGTATGTACTGCGCCTGAGAGTACATGAAATGTCCCACACCCATAGTCCCCCAACTCTGGAACTCTGGAAAAGTAAGAGGTACCTTTTCTTAATTCTTCTCTAGGACATTATTAATAATTATAAGTTCATTTAAAATTCTTTTTGGTTCTGTTCATTCTTAGTTCACATAAATCTTCTCTAAATCCTTCATGTTCATCATTCTTTACAGTGTGATGAGAATCACATCCACGTACCACAATCTGTTTGGCCATTTCCCCATTTGGAAGGCATCCATTTTGTATCCAATTCTTCGCTATCATAAAAAGAGCTGCTATAAATCTTTTGGGGCATAAGAGGACTTTATTATCAATAGTTTCCTGGCAGGTATCATATTATCTTTATATTATAATTGAGGAAACTGGAGGCCAAGAGAGGTTAAGTGACTTGCCCAGTGTCAAACATCTAGTCAGTATCTCAGGCTAGATTTGAACTCAGGTCCTTCTGACCCCCAAGTCCGGTGCGCCATCTACTGTACCACCTAGTCCCTGTTACCTTGAGCAATCTTTCATCTGGTTGTTGAGCTGGCAATTACTATTTGCTTTTCTCCTTTTAGTACTTGTCCTTACCTTCCATTCATGTTTAACATTCCAGCCAGTTTTTAATTCCTCATCATTTGAGGTCAGTTTGGATAACACTGAATGGGCCCCAGTGCACAAGGCCTCAATTCCAATGAGATCAACACAACAAGTATTTACTAAAGATGTGTCACCTGCCTGATACCTTATCAAATTCCATGCTCTCTGGGACTCTCATTGCACTGTTGGCTGAAATGCCCTGATGACAGACAACATCTCAGATACTGTAAATGCCGCAGATACTGTAAATTCCTTGGGATTGCTCAGTGCTGCCATTTTGCCTTCCCTGCTTCTGTTTTTAACAACTACTGCCCGAAACAAAGAGAGTTAACAATTAACTGGAGTTTAGCTTGAAACCCCTGAGAAACTTCTGGAGGTAGCAAGAGAAAAAAAATTCTTCAAGAAAGGAAAAGAATTATATCTTGGATGCCACCCACCATCAACATTTATTAATCTGAAAAAATTCAGCTACAGAAGTGGAAAATGGCCCGAGGGCTTGAAGAATCAGGAGGTAAGAATGAGATGATCTTTACTTTACAGTTGAAGAAACTGAGACCCAAAAAGGAAGTCATCCCAGCCCAATATTCTCCCACCAGTGCTGTGTTGCTTCTTTGCTTTCCATGATATTTATAAAAGTATAGAATTTTAGGAAGGAGACATCATAGAATGTAAAATGTCAGACCTGGAAAAAAAAATCTTAGAATCCCAAGATGTTAGAACTGGAATACGTCTTGGAACATAAAACAAAGATTACTGAAGCAGGAAGGAACCTGAAGGGCATATGGTCCAAGCCCTCCTATCACAAATCAGGCAGCAGATGCCCAGAGACTCCTTGTCTGGAGTCACACAGCTAGTCTGTTGTACAGCCCAATGTTAAGCCAAGGTCTCTTTGTATTGTAGCTGACACCTCCCATGTGTATTATCTGCCCCCTTAGAATGTGAGCTCAGAGAGGGCAAGGACAGTCTTACTTTTTGTAACCCTAGGGCACAGCACTTTGCATACAGTAAGTACCTCATAAATGCTTCATTCACTCATTCAATGAGTCAGGTGGCATTACTGAATGGGTAAAGCAACAAACCTGTTAGCTGTAAAATCTGATCATCGACATGGGTCACTGCTTCATCGTGCATCACCTGGCCTCCAATAATAAATTCCAGTCGTCCTTCTTTCACTAATTGATGGACCTTTGATAATGGGAAACACAATTTCATTAACAATCCAGTCAATAATTAAACTAGAATACATTTACTCAGCAACTACTAGTTTTAAGAGTTTCATTTTAATCTTACAAGCAGAACAGAGTACAGCAGACCGGGTGTAAATCAGAAGACCTAGCCTCAAGTATTGATTCCATAGGCTAGTAGTTGTGTGACGAGGGTAGCTCACTGTCCACATTGGTCAGATGGGATTGAGGCTACCTCCCTGCTTCATCCTGTGCTGCACTTAGTGGGGAGTCCCTCCCCGCTTGGGGGATCAGTTTTTTCTCATCTATAAAATGCCAACATCGGACCGCCCTGGAGGGGTGTGGAACCTGCTGCCTCTAGGTCCTTAAGGGTGGCCCTTTGACTGAATCCCCAAAAGCATCTGTTGTGTGAAGTTTGGATTCAGTCAAACGGCGGCCCTTGAGGACCTCGAGGGCCACATGTGGCCTCGAGGCGGCAGGTTCCCCATCCCAGGACTAGGGAATCTCAAAGGTCTCCCAGCATTGTCATTCTATGAAGCAAAGCTTTAGCCTCGTGACCTGGTACATGTAGCTTATACTCGTGAACTTCAGTTGTTTAATCAAGGAAGGAAAGAAACAAACATTTATTAAGTACATGCTATGGGCCAGGCACCATGCAAAGCACTTGGCAAATATTATGTCATTTGATCCTTGCAAAAGCCCTGTGAGGTAGGTGCTATTATCATCCCCATTTTACAGTTAGGGAAACTTGTGGCAGACAGTGGTTAAGTGACGTGGCCAAGTTCAAACATCTACCAAGTATCTGAGGCAGTCCCTGCCCTCCATTAGACGTGAGCTCCTTGACGGCAGGCATTGTCTTTTGTCTTTCTTTGTCTCTCCAGTGCTTAGCACAGTTCCTGACGGTAGTAGGTGCTTAATAAATGCTTATTGACTATCTGACCTCTGTACAGTACTTTTATTTTTGCTTTTCCTTTAAAAAAATATTTTATTCCTTTTTTCCAATTAACAAGCATTTATTTTTTCTCCTTTCCTTTCCTTCCCATTGAAGAGAAAGGAGAGAGAGAGGGAGAGAGAGAGGGAGGAAGGGGAAGAGGGGGAGAAGGGGTGAGAGAGAGAGAGAGGGAAGGAGGGAGAGGGGGGGAGAGAGAGAGAGAGAGAGAGAGAGAGAGGGAGTGAGGGAGGGAGCGCAAATCTGCACACTGTTATGTCCCAAAATGAATGTCGCATTCTGCACCTTGAGTCCCACTCCTCTCAGTCAGGAAGCCAGTGGGTGAGGGGCTTTTATCTTTAGCTCTCTGGAATTGTAGTTGGTCACTGCACTGATGAAAGTTCTCAAGTCTTTTAAAGTTGTTTTTTTCTTTACAATGTTGGTGTATACACGGTCCTCCTGGTTCTGCTCACTTCTTTCTCCATCACTTCATTTTACTCTTTCCAGTTTTCTCTGACACTGTGTAGTCATTTCCCATGGCACAATGGCATTCTGCTACGTCAACATACTATAATTTGTCTAGTCATCCCCACTAGGTGGACATACCCCTTCATTTCTGGTTCTTTGCCAATGCAAAAGGAGTTGCAGTGAATGTCTTTTGTATAGTGCTTTTCAAAATACAAAGCATGTGTTCTCTTAGCAGGGTAGGGATGATTCTCCCCACCTTCTAGAAGAGGAAACTGAGGATCAAGGAGGGCAAGTGATTTGCCACAGGTCACACAGCCAATCAGCGGCACAGTCTCCTGTCCTGTTTCCCAGTCACTTGCTTACATGGAATTTTAGAGTGATGTGGGTATTCCTGCCCTAGAGTGGCACAGATAACCAAGAGCTGGTTTTAGGTGTCAGGACTCTGAGCGGCCTGCGTACAATGGAGCCACAACCAGGGCTATGCAGGAAGCTGCCCTACCCTCAATAAGTGGTGGTGAGCACAATGGAGGAGGCAGTATAGTTGATCTGAGAGTCCAGAGAGAGTTGAAGATGGCACCAGCCTCTCTCTCAGTCAGGCAAACTGCAGGAAGGGCCCAAGCCGTTGGCCCATAGTTCTTTCTTTCTTGAAGAACCTTTTTCTATGCTACCTCCATAAGTTTCCTGGGGGTTTTTACAAAGTAGAAAGAAGAAGTGACTATTATCCCCATTATTTTACAGATGAGGAACTGAGGTACAGCGAGGTTAAGTGACTTGCACAGGGTCACACAGCTAATAACTCTCTGGGCTGGGATGTGCCTTTACTGACACTGCTGTCCTCATGCAATATAGCTTCTCCCTGGGCAAATCGCTTGGCTGAACCTCAGTATCACTCTCTGCAATCAGGATGAGAATCCTTACACTGTCTACTTCACATGATTTTTGTGTGGTGAGCACTTTGCAAACCATAGAGCAATAGAGAAATGTGAGCTATTATTATTTTCTTTTTTAAAGTAGATTTTTCAGCTGTAAGAGGATGGGGACCATATCTTATTGATCCTTTAATTTTCCCCAGCACTTAATCCAATGCTCTGCACAGATCAGCCTTTAAGAAAAGTTCAGGGAGGGCAGAGCCAAGATGGCAGAGTAAAAGCAGTGACCTGCTTGAGCTGTCCCCCAAACCCTTCTAAGAAAAGCTCAGACTGGTATACAAACAGTAGGAGTGAAACATCTTGGCCTTCTCGGCCATTTGCTGAGCCTTCCGCTTCAACCAGGTCCCAGAACTCAAACGCTGGGGTTAGATAGGCCTTTGCAATCATCTTATCGACCTGCTCATCAGGAACATTAGGAACCTGATGCTCCAAAAAGGGAAATGACCAGGCCAAGGTCACACAGTCAGAAAGTGGCAGAGCTGAACTTTGTCTAAGGTCCTATAAAGAGAAAGTAGTCTACCCATGAAGCTATCATTGCCCATTTCTTAGCCTTGTTTCTTCACCCCTTGAATTAGGGGGTTGAACATGAGGACATTCTAACTTTAAATGCTATGATAAGGAAAGGGGATAGAGCCTGGGTCTGTGATTTCACTGGCATTGAGGCTTCCTGGTTGGAGAGACCCTGTCTACCAATGCACCTTCTCTGTAACTTGAAGTGTTAGAGATTTCAAGATTTTCAGAATGTGTCGGAGGCTGCACTTGAACCCAGATCTTTCTGGCTTTATCTTTATCTACTAATTCCTTGCTGCCTCTCAGGTTCTTTAAGAAATACTGGCCTGGTCTCATCTACAACAAATAAACAATAAAAAAACCTATAATGTTATTTAGCTTCAACCCCCTGATAAGAAACAGAAGGCATAATTGTTTCACACTGTCAGTGAAAATATCATTGTAAAGTTTCCTGGTGGGGCTTTTAGCCAGAATTAGAATTCTAAACCCTTTAGAAAAAATGCAACTCACATTGATCAAAAGAAAAGACAACCTTAACAACAGCTCAGTGGTGCTCCTTTGACTTTTTTTTTTACAATGTTTGCCTGAATGTGGTTTTCTTTTCCTTTGAATACGGCAGCATCCATTAAGAAAGCTTTCTTAGCTCCCAGGACAGTAATTAATAAATCAAACACCATTACCTGGTGTTTCTGGGTGTCTGTGGCCACTTTGCTCCACCAGAGCCGGAAGAACTCTTGTTCCACAGCAATAAATTTGCGCTGCTTCTCTCTGCTCAGTTCCTTGGTGACGGAAGTGTAGACATTGGCTGCATAGGCATGCATGCTCTCCTGCAGAATGAGAGCAAGGTGGGTGGGGGGATGACAGCCTATGAGTAAACAAACAGGTTGAAAGTAACGAGATGACCCCTTCCCCTAAACTGGACAGTTGGCCATGATACTAGGGGCTAGTGTTCCACAAGCTCTCATACAGGCAAGAGACTGGGCAAAAACCAAGATGGTGCTTGTTACTAAGGACATGAATGTCACCAGCCTGGTGACAAAGAAGCATCCTTACCCAGCCCTGTGGTTTTCTCTCCGGCCAAGGCAAACAATTCACGCACAGGGCCACTGCAGGCAAACGCAAAAATGGATAGCTGCTTAGGGAACTGGCTCCACTTGTTTCCCTTCCAATGCAATCAGCTTTACAGCTACCATATTGCAACACCAGCCCAAAGGCCCAGGCTATCCCAGACACCAGCCCAGTGGCTGAGGCTATCCCTGCTTTCAGCTGCAGCCAGTCTCAGGGTAATAGGCTGGTGCCCTCATTAGCACTGTTTTCAGCAATGACTTCCTTTCTGGGTTCAGGGCAGTTCAGCTGTGGTGAAGATAATGCTTTGCATTTATATAATAAGCACTTGTTCCTAGCACATAGTAGGTGCTTAATAAGTGTCTATTGATTGATTGAGACAGTGTAGTATAATAACAATGGACATGGAGGGAGTTTGGAGACCCAGGTTCTCACCTTAGTTATGCCAATAATTCACTGTTACCTTGAGGAAGTGACTTCCCCCTTCTGGATCTCAGTTTCCACTGCTGTCAAATGAGGGAGTTAGATATGAAAATTTCTAGGGTCCCTTCCGACTGCAGTATTCCAGGATTCTAACCCTTCACAGACATTACCTTAACAGTGTCAGTAAGTGCCAGCAATATGTTTTATCTCATTTTGCAAATGAGGAAACTCTAGTCAAGGTTAGATAAGAGGTGGGACCAGCCCAAAATCACAGAGAGCTGGGACCAGAAGTGTGGCCTCCTGACTCAACTTCCCATGCCTATAATACTGCTTTAACTTGGAATGCTCCCTAAACTATGTTCACAGACATAATCTCTATCTCAAGAGGAATTTTAATATTCACAGAACCTTAACAGAAGAATCTGTACATCTATTCTAAGAACTTAATAAGGAACTGAGAAAATCATTTCACTATGGTCCCTCAATTTCAGGAAAGGTAAACAGTATGGTATTATCCACTATTACAAAGTCACAGGAAGTTAGAGCTGGAAGGGTTATTTTGAGACTTTCTATGGTAATCCTGCCACTGGATAAGTAAAGCCCAGACAGGGACTTAACTTCCCCGAGGTCACTCAATGAATTAATATCAGAATGAGGGTTCAAATCCAGGTCTGTTGACTCCAAATTTAGGGTTCTTTCAAATGCACCAGATTGCTGCTCCTTTATTAGATATGAAAACACTGCAAAACTCATTAAAAAGTGTCTACATGGAGAAAAGACAAGAACAAGACTTAAGAGATAAGAGACACACACTTGAGAGCTGGGTTCTAATATTAAACTAACTGTGAGCAAACCTATTCACATAGGGAGTTCCTCACTACCAAACATCTTAAAACAGAAGTTGTATGTGCATCTGACAGGACATTTTACACACAATAAAATAACATAACATAATAATAGTTTGGCATATATATGTGTGAAAAAAGATATATAGATATACGTATGTGTGTATATACATAAGAGAATGTATATGTATCTAATGTGTATGTATGTAAATAAATAATGGACATATGTACATACACAGAGGATATAGGTGTCTATGTCTAAGCATACATGTAAGTATATAGAGTATATATATTCAAACATACATGCACATATAAAAGAGATTCATGATCCATGTGCCAGCTGGGCTAGGTGATACCTTCCCAGGTGTCTTTAATCTTCTATGATTATAAGAAAGTTCAATGAGCTTTGGGTCAAAAACATATGTATTTCAGGGAAGATTCTACCACTCAATAGCAGTGTGACTCTGGGCAAATCATAACCGCTCTGAACCTCACCTTCCTCATCCAGAAAACAAGGATGATAATATTTATACTGTGTACATAACTCCCAGGGATGTTGTGAAGCAAAAATGAGATAATGGATGCAAAGTGCTCACTTATTAACGATCATAAAGTACTTTACAACCAGAAACTCTTATTACTGCTATGAACGGAGAGCATTTCAGAATTCAGATGTCATACAAAATGTTGTAGAAAATTATATCAGGATTCTTTTTTTTTTTAAATCCTGCAGGTGTTTCCTAGAAGTGAAAAGGGTCAAGCTTATATACCAGAAACGATCATAACTGCTATAACTTAGAATAGTAACAACAGCAAAAAAAAAACCATCGCTCATTAAGATAACACATTGGTAAGACCCTGATGATTGAGAACTTGTGAAAATTAGGGGTAGGATTAAAATTGCTATACAAGGGAATTAGTAAACCTTGGTTTTAATTATTCCTGGCTCTACCAATTACTGGATGTGAGGACTCTGCACAAGATCTGAGGGACTGACTCCAATTAATCTCAAGCGCTTAATCCCTTTCTGGGAGCCCTGCACAGTGTTTGAGCTTATCCAAACCTGTTTTCTTATGATCTCCTCAACTCCTTACCACTATCACTACCCACCTTGTACAAAGAAATAACACCTCTCTCCTTTGTCCTACTGAGTGCCTACTGAGACCCCATTTCCTCAGATTCTGGCCTGAAGGTTCAATTTCGACGTAAGTAGGTTTTCTAGCCAATTGGGAAAATCCTACTTATTACATAATTCCTAAGATTACTTTTCTTTAGACAAAACAGTTTTCAATCAGTCCAAACTGATCAGCTGTTTTTTGACAAGCTAACCACTCAATACCAGGGTAGCATCCCTCCAGCCTTCCCTTCTTCCCACCCTCCCCAATCCTTCTCTCTCTCCCTCCTTCCTAACCTCTTTTCCTCCCTTCCTCTCTTCCCAGCAGGAGGTGGGGGAGGTGGGAACAAGAAAAACAATTAATGCTTGATGAGTGAAAAAAAAATTAAATAAAGAAAATGAAACCAGGCTCAGTCCTGGCTTCACAGAAGACCTTCCATCTTTTGAGAAGAGTCCAAAAAATTCAGTCACTTTCCACCCCACAGCAAGAGCTGTGACTAGCAAAAGACACTGAGACAAGTCCCTGGAAAGAGCTTCTTGGGAAGGTGAGGAAAGATAAGAACAGTAACAGTTCCCATTTCTGCAGCCTTTAAAGAGTTGTCCTCGTGCTAATTCTGAGAAATAAGCAGTATAAGTTTGGTTACCCCATTTTACAGATGGGGAAATTTAAAAGTAAAAGGCTAAGTGATTTCTCCCACGCACAGTCATTTTATACCCAGGGCTCAAGGCACCAATTCAGAGATTAGTCCCAGCACCTACTCTCAAGGAGCTTACAATCTAATTGGGAGAAGGGGACGTGGAAGAAGTGGGGAAAGGGAAAGCCTCATGAAGCATGTCCCTTTGAGTGGGCCTTGAAGGGAGAGAATTCAAGAGATGGAGGTGCTGGGCAGTTTGTGGGGGTGTCTGTTCCAGGCATGGAACATAGGCTGAAGGCATGTATCTAGGACAGGTAAGGATGAGAGCTGGGTATAAAGAAAAGCCCAGTTTGCCAGAAAAACAGAATCCAAAATGGGGAGTAAGTAGTACCAAATAAAGATGGTGAGGTAAACTGAACTCAGATCGTAAAGGACCTCTATTGCCTGGATTAGGAATTAATACTTTAAATAATAGTAACAGTTAACGTATAGTACCTACTATGTGCCAGGCATGGTAATATGCACTTTACAATTATTGTCTCATTGGATCCTCACAACAGCCCTGGGAGAAAGGTAATATTATTATCTCCATTTTACAGATGAGGAAACTGAGGCAAAGGAGTTAAATGACTTGCCCACAGTGAACCAGTTAGTAAGTGTCTGAGGCCAAATTTGAACTCAGATCTTCCTGACTCTAGGTCCCTTAGTTTATCTACTGTGCCACCTAGCTGCCCCTATCTGACAGGTAAGATGGAGCCAATGAATGTTTATGAGGGGAACAGTAACATGAAGAGAAATGTCCTTAGGGTGTTAATGTCAGGTGCAATGTTGTGGTAAGGGTACCAGTCTTACAGTCAAAAAACCTGACTCCAACACTTTTTTTGACCCTAAGAAGTTAACTTCACATTCTATCTACACCTTGGTTTCTTCATCTGAAAAACGGGGCAGCTAGGTGGCTTGGTGGATAGCATTAGACTTGGACTCAGCAAGATATGAGTTCAAAATCTGCCTCAGGAACCATGTAACCCTGGGCAAATCATGGTAACTCTCAGTCACGGCTTTCCCATTGGTAAAATGGGGATGATAATGATAGCACCTACTTCACAGGGTAATTGTGAGGATCAGATAAGATAACATATTAAACCTTAAAATCCTATGTAAATTGTTATTATTATCAGGAGACTAATACTGGCCCCACCTACCTCACAGGGGAAAGGCATTATGAGGGCAGCCCAGCTGACTACGCTGCAGGCCTCCCCAACTTTAAAGGATTCCTCTCAACTTTGAACTCCATGGGGTCCTTGCTGAGGGACACAGGACAGAGTTCAGATTGCTGCTTACTACTGTTCAAATGGGATCGTGTTTCTGGAAGGGCAGCTTTCAGGGCCCAGCTGGACTTGTTTGAAAGGCCTTATCTTCCCAGGGGAGAACCGGAAATTTCACAACACAGAAGAGGAAAAGCAAAACAAAACCCTATTGGGATCTTTTTAGTCTTGCTTGGTTTTCCCCCTCAATCTTATCAGAAGTTGAAATAGGGCCTATTAGGTGAGATACTACCATGAAAAATACACTACACTGAGAGCCAGGAGGCCTGGGCTCTATCCAGTCCTAGCGATGAGGTCTAGAGGTTTAGGGGTGCTGGGACCCCAAAATCATGACCCAAGCTTTCTTTTGGCCAGAGACAAGGTTTATTAGAGATCTGTCATATTAGCCAGACTCTCAAGGAACCTGAGCATCTGTGAGCT